AAGTCTGACAAGTCTTTCCACTATTTCATAAGCACAGACCTAGACATGCTACTCCTTAAATTGAAAAAAAAAAACTTTAATGATTTCCTACTGCCTTACCAACTAAAGTTCAAAATCCTTTGCCTGGCATTTAAGGCCCTCTATAATTGGGTGCAAGGGGCATCTGGGTGGTGCAGTGGATAGAGCACTGGGCTTGGAATCAGGAAGACCTGAGTTCAAATTCGGCCTCAGATGCTTACTAGCTGTGTGACCCTGGGCAAGTCATTTAACTCCTATTTGCCTCAGTTAAATTGGGGACACACTGGAGAAAGAAAATGGCAAACCACTCCAGTATCTTTGCCAAGAAATTCCATGCGCAAGCCCATGGGGTCACAAAAAGTCAGACACAAATGAATGACTAAACAATAATCAGGTGCCAGCATACTTTTCCACTGATAGATCATAATTCTTCCCCTCCATCCTCTGCACTAGCCAAACAAGATGACTCAGGCTCCTGAACACACACAATTCTTACACCTCTGTGGTTTTGCTCTTGCTGTCCTCTCTACCTGGAAATGCCCTCCCCTTTTCTCTTCACCAGGGGAATTCCTACTTGTTAAAATCCACCTCTGATACCACCCCTTCCTTTTCCTGGTCCCCGTCAGACCTCCTCCACAGCTTTCTTTTGTAACCCTCCTATGTATTCATCAGGCACTCTTAGCTATCAGTGTTGGTGAAAATTTCCCCTATTTGATTGCAAGTTCCATGTGGGCAGGGACTGGGGCATACCTGGAATCCTATTCCCATCCCATTAAGGACCAGTGATGTTGTCTACCTTCTTAGAACTGAGAACTCTAGTTAACACAGGCTGCAAGCTTTCCCCCACCCTTTTTTATTTCTTAAAGCCAGGAGAGCTGTGAGAAAAATAAAACTGTGAAGTTGGTTAAACCTGCTCTTCACCTTCCCTTCTCGCCCCACTCCAAACTTGGAAGGGTCTGGGAGAATCATAGTCAGAACTGGAAGGAGGCTTGGAAGTCGTCTCCTCCAACTCTCATTTTACACATGAAGAAACAAAGCTAAGGGAGGTTAAGTGCTTTGCTCAGAGTCACACAGATAGTAAGTCTCTGAGGCAGTATTTGAAACCCAGATTTCTTGACTCCAAGTCCAGAATTCTATCGACTGTGCTATAGAGTGCCTCCTCATGCTGCTCCATCCTTAATGTCAAGAAGGAAACCAATCATCTGATAATTTATGCCTGGGTGTGAATGATGGGAATGTGTGTGGGACCCAGCCCCTTGTGTAACCCAAAGGGAGGAAGCACTAATGGTGGCATTCCAGACACTACTGTCACATCTGAAGTGAGACATGGGGCACTGTTTTTGATGGGGGCCAGGATGCCCTCTAATCATAGCCCTTTTCTGCTCTAATCCTTTTTGCTTTTCTCTGCTACCTTGGTCAAATAACTCAGTAAAGGAGTTAGCTGTCAGTGGTTAGCCAACTCAAGGTCATGTGCATGATGAATCGGTCTTTCTTTTCTCTGAAGAGCAGACCAGATTAGCTCTGGGTTTAAGCAATGACTTCAAGGCATGTGTGCCTTTAAAATATATTTTTTTTGTCTCTTTTGTGTGTGAAATAACAGATGTGAGGTGAGCCTGAGCTGCATGATGTCTCATTAGGGAGGGGCTTTCGGCATCAGAACCCTCTGACGGTTTTTGTGCCACCTCCCCCTTCCCTTGATTCCCCTCCACCTAGTGCCTATGATAGAAAAGTGATGAGAATTCCAGGAGATGGTCTCAGTCATGGGATCATAGGGTCACTGGATGTCAGAATTAGAAGAGATTTCAGAGATTGTTTAATCCTGCGGTTCTCAAACTTTTTGGTCTCAGGATCCCTTTAAATTCTTAAAAATAAGGTTATCTCCAAAGAGCTTTTGTATATATGTGTTATATCTATTGCTATTTGTCATATTAAAAACTAAAATATCAAATAATTTTGATTTCATGGATCCTTTTTATGGGGTCCATGGACCTCACTTTGAGAAGCACTATTTTAATCCAGTATCTTTATTTTATAGATGAAGAAGCTCAAAAGAGGTGAAGAGAGTAGAGTGTCTTGTCCTTGTTACACAGGTAGCATTGGGATTCGAATCCAGATACTCTGACTGAATCCTCCTGTTCTCCTCCTTCCTCTTGGCCTAACAGGAATTTGAGCCTAAGAAGAATGCCTCCCAAAGCTGTGAACCTTGGCCATGAGAAGGGAGGCCAAATCTCCTTATATCTCCTCCGTGACTAGGATGGCTGGAGACTAGAGTTTCCCAACTCAGGCAGCCACTCCTCTCCCACCACCCTCTGTTCTCTCTTCCGCTCCCCTGCCCCCTGGGGCTCTCCTTCTGGGGTGTGGACAACTTGTACCACGGCCTGGCTTGGCTTCCAGGTCCCAGGAAGGATGACAGTCTTGCGGCATCCCAAACTTTTCTGTTTCAGGATCATCACCTCTTAATAGGCAGAATCTGGCCCCCAGTCAGATATCTATACCTCTGTATCCAATCAAATGCATACTTTTCATATTGCTTTGCCAACAGCTGTGCCTTTTTTTTTTTTAATGGTTTGGGATTTTTCTTTTTTTTTTTTAAACAAAAGTTCCTTCATATAAGATAAATTGAAAAGGACATTTGAAAACCCCTATCAATCCTGCTTATAAATAACTGAAATAGACAAAGAGAAGGGAGACGGAGTGAGGGGAAAGAACTACAGAGGAAAAATTTAGAATTCACTGCAACACTTGGTGTGGGCAATTTGTATCTTGTCTCGGCGAAGCCTTTATCTCAAGTGACAGACGCTGAATAAGCTGCCAAAACACCACAGCAATTAAGGGCTACAATATCAAGAGCAAATGTTTTAATTCATTTTGTTTTTCTTTTTAAAAAAAAAGGGGGGGGGAGGAAGGAGAGAGAGAGAGATCCTTATTCTCTCCCTTTTGGGTTTCCAAAGAGGCATCTGTAAACTATTAAACTGGTTTATTTTCATTAGTGCACTCACGGCGGAAGTGACATTTATATCCTTGTGGTATGACTGAGAGAGCCAGGAGCTTTCCATGGGAATAGAGCCCCCACGGCTTTTTCCAAAGCTGACAGAGGTTCTCATGAATACAAGCTTCGTGTTCAGAGAGGATTCCAGGCCCTCACAAAACATGTCGATTCCATCTATCTAGCCCTTAGCAGTGCCAGAAAAGGTCTTTATTTTCTCCACCAAGGAAAAAAAAGGAAAAGAAAAAAAAAGTAAAGAAAACATCCTTCTTTTGCCTGCACAACCCCTGCCTGCTGGGCATCCCTAAACTCAGAGACCTTAACCACTGACTGTAATACACCTGGGAGGGACAAAATCCATTGGCTTTTCTGTTCCCTTGGGGAAAGGCGGTTTAAATTGAAATCTGTTTATCAAGCCCCCTGGTGATGTTCCGTTAGGCCATCTGCTGGCCAGCTGGAGTCAGTGCAGGCAGGTGCCAAAGCTAACCTTGCTTTCTTTGGGTGGTTGGCCCCAATTTTGTATCAAGACAGAATTTCCCAGTCTCTGCACTTAGCCTCAGGGCAACCCTTCTTTAAGAAGAGGCTGTGGGTCTCTACTGCTGCGACCTTCTCCGCAGTGGGTATGTTTGCGTGCAAGCTGTGATCAAGGTCCCTGGAGGCTGCCCCCGCCTTCCCCCCCCCTCCCCACCAGTGGCTCTCTAGGTACTATATCCCTCCTCCACCCCAAAATTCTTGGGCAACGTTAGAGCTCTTAAAATTTCCTTAGCATCCTTCAAGTTTTCTCTCTAATCCTTCTTTTCTTCCTTTATGTTCACTTCCCACTTCTCCCCACTGCAAGCACTCAGAGGTCTCTGGCTTTCCCATCCCTCAGGCCAAGGAAAGATGACTCTGATAAACTAATTTACAACCAAGTGCTTGTTATTTAAAGTGTGATCCGTGGCATCTCAGGAGTATTTGCATCTTAAGATGATCTCGGAGAGAGCAAAGTTTAACCCAAAGAGAGAGAGCTAATGGTAGGGTTTCAGACACTGCCCCCCAGATGTGGGACTGGGACAGTGCTTTCTTGGAAAGGGTGTTATCCTCTGGGTCTTTTCCAAATAGTTAATGTCTACTTTGTCCACTTTGCCCAGGTGTAAGTCTGTTCTCTGATTGAATTAATGCCTCATAGGATTTGTCAGTCTCGTTAAACAGTATGGGGTTCTAATGGCTCTTCCCTCCTTTGCATAGTAAACCATATGAGTTCTGGGTGTAATGTAGCAGCATCTATAGAGAAATAAATGTGTTTTATACAATTGAAAAAAAAACCAACCCAAACCTCTGCTTTTGTGTGCGAGGACAGATGTGGGGTGGGTCTGGGCTGGGTGGCTTCTCTAGGGCTGCTTGTCAGGGAGAGGTTGTTTGGGTTCAGAACCCCCATATACAGTTTTCTATGGCCCCCTCCTGCTGTGCCTGGCAGGCAGAATTCCTACAGCTGAATTTTCGTTCCTTGTCTTTTTCGTGTCACCTCTTCCCTTTTCACTAGCCATCTGCGGAGATCACAATTTTTGGTTGATGACCTTTTGATCCCACTCCATAGATGACCACCCATCTGCAATCCCAGACTGACCTGTGGTTCAGCATCTCCTGTTTGTTCCGAGAGCTGATACTATCAAAATGGGTTTTGCCAGAGCTGTATACAGCATAGCTGCCATTCAGGTTTTTGAGACAATTCATTGAGATGCCTGCATATGAAGGTCAAGAAGTTCTATGTTCCTTCAAGTGAGGTTCTTTCCAACTACCCTGTTTTGTGTGTCCCCCCGCCCCCATCTTCTCCCCTGAGCCATCAGATACAGACAGAGCTTCCAGTCCCCTGGCCCAGGACTTAGTCCCAGAATCCTAAAGCATTCATACTGGGAATGACTTTGGAAATCACCCCATTTTACAGATGGGGATACTGAAGCCCAGAGAGGGAGAGCCACTTAGCCAGTCATTCAAGTATTAAGTGCCAGAGCCAGGGTTTGAACCAGACCTCAGGGTCCCCAGTTTATTGTTCTTTCTCCTACATCCCCAGAAGAAGGCCTGCTCTAGGTCCCACTCCTATCTGGTCCTTCTTCTAACTAAGGAGGGTTGTGGGAGGGGGTAGGGGCTAAAGGCCATACACAGGAAGCAAAGAGAGGCTTCTGGGAATGAGAGAAAAATGTTCCTGCTATTTCTGAGCCTCTCTGTCCCTCATAGCCACTGCTGGAATATCCAATTAGTGAAGGGTAGTGTTGGTTGGCAGAAGGAAGGATGGCCCAAGCAGGCTCCTGTATGATGCCAAGGAGTCTGCTAACTTTCCTGAAGACTGGGGACGTGGTGAAGAAGTGTGGGAGAGCAAAGGAGAAACACCAGCTGTCCTAGGTACACAGAGAGCATCTATGTTGCTGAGCCTTCTGTATTCATAGAGGATCTCAGGTCTTGGAGCTAGAAGGCATCCTGGAATTATCTGGTCCAGCTATGTCCTCCAGCAGGAGATGTGGTGGTCCAGCGAGGAGGGTTGTAACCAGGGTTCAGGGTGACATGGCTATTGTTTCCAAGCACAAGACTCCTTTTACCCTGTAACTTGGCCTCTGGCATCCTTTCCTTAGAGTCTGCCTGGAACCCTAGCAGAGCTCCCTTGGGAGAAAGGGATGGAGGCAGTCTGGGTCAATCTCTTTCTGACTCCTCCCTATCCCAACTGTGTACTTTTATACTAGGATGCACATATTGTTCAAGGCCCAAACCATGGAGCTGGATTCCACTTTTTGTCCAGCAGAAATGGACAGACTTCAGCCTATGCACAGACCAAGGTATGCCAGCTGGCATGATGATGTCGTAGAGGGGCTAGTTTATGTTGACTGTTGCCCTAAGGGCTGCTGGGACATTTTATGCCAAAATCCCATCTGGTGTCAGCAACCAAAATGGATCTTGAACAACATCAGCTGGTACCAGCTCATATTCTGCATCTCAAATGAAAAACCTTTGGTTCTGTTTATAGTTTTTTTTTTTCTCATCCTTTTCCAGGTTTGTTTGTTTGTTTTTTAAGAACTCAAGCTTTTTTATTTTCAAACAAAAACTCTGTTCACATAGGTCTCCCTCCTCTTTCCTGGCCTGGAAGCATCAGATGCTCATGAATGAGGATAACTGAGACAGAGGGTGGAGGGAAGGTCTGGGTCTGGGCTCTGCTGTCCTCAGCAGCCAAATGAGAGAAGGAATGTTGGTTGGAGAGAGTGTCCTTGGATGTCTCTGTAGGCTCCTTTCTTAACCAGCCCTTCTGTTGGGGGCAGGAACAGCCATCCTTGTACTGTGGGTAGGAAAGTGGGGTGGGGTTCATTTTCCTTTCCTTCCCTCTCCCTCTTTTTTCTTTTTTTTCTTTTTAAAAACATTTTTTCTTTTTTTTTCTTTTTTCTTAAAAAAATTTTTTTTTTAAGAAAAAGGTAGCTTAGTCCTGGTTGAGGGCTGCTGGGAATCATTCAGTTCACTGTGGGCACCTGGTTCTGATGGAGGCTGAACTCTTTGGCTTTGAGGCGGAGGCTGGCGATGCTGTTGGCCATGTTGACCCCCTGAGTGGGAGGGGCTGTCCCCCCGGGGCTGTAGGATGGCACCGTGCTGGGGTGAGGGAAGGAGGAGACATAAGATAAATGAATCACTCACAGCCTTGGCCCAACCACTTCCTGACTCTGGTGAGTTCCCATTCTTGCTCTCTCTCTGTTTACCTTCCTACCTTGGCTTTCTCTTTAAATCAGATGGGATCTCAGATTTGCTCCTTCCCTTTCAGAAGTGCCAGGAGGTTGGCAGGACTTGGGGAAGAGTTAGAAGCACCTTTCAGTGTGGGGGTTTTGTAACCTTTGAAATCTTAGAAATATGGAATTTCAGAGCTGGAGGGGATTCTCAAGTTTATCTCTGACAGTTAAGAACCCCCCAGAAAAACATTAGTTCCCCACCTCCCCTGCCATCTCAAGTAAGAATAAGGAAGGAGGAGGTGGTGTGAGGGGAGCCCTGACCAGATATTCTAACTCCCTGCTCTCCCCATGTCCCACTTCCTCTCTTCCCTTCTTCCCCTTCACACCGGCAAGCCCATCTCGATGTTCTGTACAGGCGTGGAGCTGCCCCCGCAACTGGCTCTGGAGCCCCCATCAGCCGGTGCATCTCTGGCAGGAGGGTGTGAGTGCCCAGAGCTGCCAGTAGCTGAGCTGAAATTGAGATTAGAGAGTGATCAGAACCCATGGGCTGGGGTGTCCAGAGTGGAGCCTAGATACCAGAGCAGGCCCTTCCCTACTATACAGTTGGCCTGATAAGCCATTCAGAATCCCCCTGACTCCCCATCTTATCTCCCTTTCTGTCCTAGGAGACACTGAAGTTTTTCTAGGCTTTTCTTACAGTCATTTAGAAATCCCTTTTCCAGAATAGATTCCTCTAAAAGCCATCTGATAAATCAATCTCTCTCTCTTTTCTCTCTCTTTTCCTTCGTCTCCCCATTCTCTTCCTCCCCTTTCTTTTCCTCCATTTGTCCCATTCCCTTTCTCCTTTTTATTCCCCTTTCCTCTATGATCCCTTCCCTTCCTCTGTCTCTTTCCCTTTCTCTCCTTTTTTCCTTTCCCTCTTTCTCTTCCTTCTCTCCTACCTTTCTCTTTCCCTCCCTCCTTTTCCCTCTCCCTCTTTCTCATTCTCTCCTTTTACATTTTCCTCTTCTTCTTCCTTTCTCTCTCCCTATCTCTCATTCTCCATTTCCTTCTTCCTCTCCTTCCTTCTCCCTTTGTTTTTCTATCTCCCCCATCCTTCCTTTTCCTCTCCTTATCTCTTTCCCTTTCCCTTTTCCTCTCTCCCCAGTTCTTCTCCACCCTTTCCTACCCAGTTGTGCCCAAATGAGTGGAGCCCAAGGTAACCTGTTCTGGGGCAGGAGTTTCCCACTGGTTTAGATTTTGGGGTACCCATGCTCAGAGAATTCTTTAATTTCTCTGTTTCTGTGCCTCATAAGCACAGAGGAATTTTTTGCTGTCTCTTACTGTGCCGCCCAAGGAATAAAACAAAATCTGTCTGGAGCTCTCCATTCTGGGGATCCTTTCTTCCCCTTCTTCCCCAGACTTCAAGAGGCCCTGTTTATTCTCCCTTTACTCTCTAGCTGCCCCCCAGCCCAAAGTGCCTGGAAGGTAGTGTGGGGAGAGAGCAGGCCCAAAGTGTTGGGGGAGTCTCACCTGTAGGGGGGTGTGGTCGTCCAGGACAGATAGTCTGGGCTCAGGGCGGTTGGCCTGGGTGCCATTGGCTGCTCAATGGCTGCTTCCTGGCTATAAGACTTGAGAAGTGAGGCGGATCTGTTGGCTAGCATGGCTCTCTCATTTCGTCGGAACTTTGCTCTTCGGTTCTGGAACCATACCTGGGCAGAGACCAAGAGGCACACAGTGAAGGGGTGCCAGGCTGAGGGGAGTGGGACATGCAGGGAAGGGAGGAGACTGGCTATGAGTCTGGGTATCCCAGGCTCTTCTGGATGGCTCATAGCCAGCCAGCAAGATCATTAAGTATATCTCAGTCTAGTTTATCTTAGATGGGAGCAAAAAAATCCCTGATGCTCTAATGGTGCGACTGTAGGCATGGGACCAGGAGATCTTTCCAGAGGCCATAAGGAAGTTAGCACCTTCCCTCCCAGTGCTCATTCCAATCACAGGAGCTTAGAAGAGGTCTTGGAGATCATCTAATCTGTCCCCTTTATGAAGTGAAGATGAAGAACAGGCCTAGTGGGGTTTAACGATGTGCCCTACATTACACAAGAAATGAGGCTTACACTGCTCCCAGCACCCATGGAGCAGGCGTGAGGCCTCCTGCTGCTCTCACCTGCACCCGGGCCTCACTCAGGTTGACCCTGCGCGCCAGCTCCTCTCGGACGAAGGCATCCGGATAGTGGGTCCTCTCAAACACCCGCTCCAGGGCTTGTAGCTGGCTGCTATTGAAAGTGGTTCGGTTTCTACGCTGCTTCTTCTTCCTCTTGGCGACTCCTCTGCTGGGGCTGAGGCACTCACCTGGAGTCACAGGGAGAGACAGAGAGAGAGAGAGACAGAGAGAGCACCTGGAGGGGCGATGCCCCACACCTTCTGGTCACTCACAAAGGCCATCCCAGCAAACACCAAGTTGTGGGTTCCCATCCTTGTCAATGTCTGCATTTTGAAGTACAGGATGAGGTGGCTGGTCCTGGAGTCAGGAAGACCTGAGTTCAAATCCAGCCTCAGACACTCACTAGCTGTGTGACCCTGAGCAAGTCATTTAATCTGTTTGCCTTAATCCACCGGAGAAGGAAATGGCAAACCACTCCAGTATCTTTGCCAAGAAAACCTCATACGGAGTTACAAAGAGTCAAAAAACGACTGAACAACACCAATGATGTAAAGAGCCTTGGATTTGGAATGAGAAGAATTGGGCTTGAATTCTGGCTTTGCTGCTTACCATCTCTGTGGCCTTAGAGGAATCTCTTCCCTATTCTGGACCTCAGTTTCCTCATCTGAAAAATGAGGCTATTCTAAATGATCTCTAAGGTTCTTTCCAGTTCTAAATAATAATCGTTAAATAGGGCACTTTTAAGATTTGCATAGCACTTTACAGATATTATCTCTGTCCTCATAGCAAGCCTGGGAGATTTGGGCTATTATTATTTCCATCTTAGTGAAAAGGAAACTGAGGCAGACAAAGATTAAGTGACTTGCCTAGAGTTATCAAGCATCTGTGGCTGGATTTGAATTCAGGTCTTCCTGATTCCAGGTCCAGTGCTTTAGCTATTGTGCCACCTCGCTGCTGATATAATGATATGAATCCTATGATCCTATTATGTACCGTTGTATCTTTTCTCCTTATTAAATTGTAAAATGATTATTGAGACCGAGCTTTCATTGCACTGCTCATTTACTCTGTTGGCATCTTCACTAAATCCAGAGAAATTGAGGAAGGACCCATAGCCTTTGGTGGAGGCTAATACCCATAGCAGGATACAGATAACGGTTCCATAGTATGGGACAAGCACAGGTAAACTGTTATCTGCAGCATTGCAGGGGATACCCATATCAGTAAGCTCAGGAATCCACTGGAGCATCTGAGATTAATGCTGTCTTCCTCATCTACGGACCCCCTTCAGTAGCCTAGCACAAGGAAAGCTGTAGCACCATAGCTGGTGCTCCATTGAAAAGTTGAATTGATTTGAACCGAATCCTTCCAAAGTCCTAATAACTGCTGGCATTCCTATAGATGGCCTTTAAGGTTCACAAAGCATTTCTTCCACACCAGCCCTTTGAGGGAGCTAGCACAAGTATGATGGTTCCCACTTTAGAAATGAGGAAAGTATGGTGCAGCTAGGTGGCACAGTGGATAGAGCACCAGCCCTGAAGTCAGGAGGACCTGAGTTCAAATCCGAGCTCAGACCAAGCACTTGACGCTTGCTAGCTGTGTGACTCTGGGCAAGTCACTTAACCCCAATTGCCTTAAAAAAAAAAAAAAAGAAAGAAATGAGGAAAGTGAAGCTCAGAGGGAGAGCTTAGACTGCATGACTGGCCCGGGGCCACGCGGGCCCCAGGGACAGAGCCGGCATCACAGAGCCTCCAAGTTCAATGCTCTTCTTGCTGCACTAACTGCCTCTCTGCACCTGCAGATAACCCAGGTGGAAGTCAGTCTATGGCCAACTGCGCTTGTCAATCTTCAGAACGTGAGTTCCTCTGCTGCCTCCTTCCACCTCACATGGCCAACAGATCAGGGCCCCGACAGGCGTGCCCCTGCTAACCTCTTAAGTTCAAAAGTCCAGTCCCGACCCTCCCCTCTCCCCCCATCACCATTTATGGACAGATTCAATTGAAGGGAAGAGAATAAACCTTAAGACACAAAACTCATGGGAGGAGAGACTCCAGGACACCACCCCATGGTGGGGAAATGGGGGCGCTGGGACACTGACCCCACAGGCAATGATCCTAGGAATCCTGCAAGGTTGCATTGGGGTGGGGGGGGGGCAGGGCAGAGCTCATCGGATGGAACGGCCAGGAGAAAAGGATGAGGCCGTTAAGTAGCTTCTTATTTTAATTTTACAGTTGTTTCCACCTCCTGAAGGAATGCAAGTGGAACTTGCCTTTTGGTGCCTTCCAAATTTTGGTGCCGTAAAACAAAACCGGGATCACCCTCCTTGGGTTACCGCTGTAGTTTCCACCCTCCATCATTAGGAAGTCAAAGTGATTTTCCTGGAGTATAGGCCTGACTATATCATTCCCATCTCTAGGGGTGAGGATCCTGCAACCTCCAGGCCACATGTGGCTTTCTAGGTCCTTTTGACTGAGACCAAGTTTTACAGAACAGATCCTTTTATTAAGGAGATTATTTTAATTTTATTAAGGGGATTTGTTCTGTGAAGACCTTCCCAATGTCCCGTGTCTTCTCCCTACTTGTCCCCAAAGTCTTAGCACTAAAAACTTCATTCAAACTCTCAAAACTCCTCTAAGACTTTGGGGACACCTTGCCTATGTACACACATGTTGGCTTCCTCCATAAAACAGAAGAGACGCTCGAATTGTTGACTTTGTGCTCCTGGTGCCTGGCACAGAGTAGGTGCTTAATAAATACTTGTTGCTTGATGGATGGTCACAAGCCTCATGAGATGGATTTCAGCTTGGAACTGGCAACAGAACGGCATGTGTTCAGTGGACAATGTTTTGAGCTCTCTGCTGGGATACTGACTTCCTTCCAGTCTTCTCTTGTGGACAGAACTTGTCAGCTGTTTATACTCCCATGTATCTCCTGCATTTATCTTCTGTTCATTAGGCTGCAAAATTAATTACACTTCATCCTTTAAGGTCTTCTTAACTCCGACATCCTCTGTGAAGAATTCCTTGCATTTGTCATGCATTCAGCAAGTACTTATTGGCAGCTAGGTGGCGCAGCGGATAGAGCACTGAGCTTGGAATCAGGAAACTTCCTCTTCATGAGTTCAAATCCAACCTCAGAACCTTACTAGCTATGTGACTCTGGGCAAATCTCTTAACCCTGTTTGCCTCAGTTTCATCATATGCACAATAAGAAGGAAATGGCAAACCAACTCTAGTACCTTTGTTAAGAAAACCCCAAATGGGGTCACACAACTGAGCAACAACAGCAAATACTTATTGACCATTCAACTATACAGAAGGCATCATGGGACAAGTTTAAGTCTTTTACTTGCCTTGTTTCTCCATATAAGAGCTCCTTCAGGGCAAAGACTGTTTCTTATACTGTCCTCCTGCCTGTCTTTGTCCCCCAAACCCCCGGCCCAAGGATTACTTAGGGCTAGGGACTCGGGAGATGCTCAATAAATGTATGGATTTGGAATCAGGAAGATCTGGGTTCGAATCCTGCCTCTGACACTTATGAGCTGTGCTGACCCTGGTCAAGTTACTTTATCTTTCCAAGTCTTAGTTTCCCCACACCTGTAGTACCTATCTCACAGGTCTGCTGTGAGACTCACATAGGTGAATGGAGAGGCAGCCCAGAGTAGTAGATAGTAATCTGAATTTAAAATCAGGAAGAACTAGGTTCAGATTCTGCCTTTGACAATTATTAGCTGTCACTGAGCTAGTCACTTAACTCCCCTGAGCTTCAGTTTCCCCATCTGAAAAATGACAGGATCGGACTACATGGCTTCTTCTACCACCAGGTCAATGCTCCTGTCTGTGTATCTGGCTTTGCTAACTTTAAAGCATTGCCATTATCATTTGCCTGGGATATGGATGCTGCTGGAGCATTGCCTTCTTCTTAGTCAAGTTGAGGTCTTAGGAATGTTACCAGGGACAGGGACTGGACCTGAGATTTCAGTGGCCTAGAAAATGCCTTCTCTCAATGCAAGTTAGGACCTTCTCTGTGGCTTATCGTCTAAGACAGAGGTGTCCATCAAGGCTGCAGCTGCCAACACTCCTGGGTGCTGCCAGAACCAGATTAAAATCTAATTGGGAAATACTGAACAAAATAAATAAAAGTACTGAAGAATAGATCATGTTAATATGTGGTTTTCTAAGTCAATCTACCTCTGCAGGAATCCTTATGTAAGTTTAGTGGTTCTCTTTTCTATTTGAGTTTGACACCCCTGGTCTTAAGGAGTTATTATCAGAGGTTAAGTGATTTGCCCAGCATCACTCAGCCAGAATATGTCAGAGGCAGGACAAATACAGGTCTTCCTTGTTTCAAGGCTGGCTTTCTAGTCACTCCTCCATGCTGCCTCCACTAGAATATTCACAATGCATTTACATTTCTGGGAGAAAAATATCAGGGTGGGGAGGAGTAGAACATAGTGAAACAGGGAGTGTCTACTGGGTACCCAAAACCAGTCTGGTTATTTGACTTTTTCTTCTTTTTCTGGTCAGTTGAAGTCGAAAGGAGATGGGGCAGAAATGTAGTGATTTTCTTGTTTCTTTGAGTTCCAGATAAATGATCAGGCCTCTTAGCCTCAAACACACATAAGCAGGCATTCCCATACATATTGTGTTTGGGCATAGACCCAACCCAGTGAAAATTTTCAGCCAAAAAAGGAGAATTTTTCCAGGAAGTTTCTGAGCCATTCAAAATGGGAGTTATAATGAAAACCATTTTGCCTTTCTAGTGCTTTTGACCACCAGAGTGGTTAAGAGACAACTTTTCTGGCTCCAGGTTGTCGGCTAGGTGCCTGGGATGGAGCTCAAGAGGTCCCACTGAAACCCTGTTTCAAACCAATGCATGGGAGTCCCTGGCAAGCTGGAGATTTGGTGACTGATAACCACCACCTTATAACCGCATCTCCTTTGTTTGGGGATCCAGGGCAGGATGGATTCCTTTTGGATCCTGTCTCTCATCCAAACTGTGTTTAAGGTAACCCTAAAGACCTTGCAGAAAGTGCATCCTTAGGATGCAATGGGGAGGGCTTGGAAGCTCACCTTCAGCCCCCAGCTCCAAGTTTCCTTTTATAATCATTTTAGGAATTCCTAGCTTAATTTAGGGTCCATGAACTTGTTTATTATATCTATCTATCTATCTATCTATCTATCTATCT